GGTGCCGCGGCCGCCGCGAGCGCGGCCCCTTTAAGGCGACGCCACCGGGGCCGCGCGGAGCCGCCGCAGTGCGCTGACGTCACCGCCCGCGCAGCCAATGGTGGCGCCGCCTGGGCGCCGCGGAGGGGCGTGGCCATGCCTGACCACGCCCCTTTCCCGAGGGGAGGGGGGAGGAGGCGCCGCGCAGGTCCCGCCGCCCGCCCGCCCCCGCGCCGAGCCCCAAAGTTGCCAAATCGGGAAAAAAACCAACAAATCCCCCTTTCCCTCCCACGCCCCTCGGTAATAACCCACCGGGCCGCGTTGGGATTGAGCCGTTCGGGGAGGATTTTGCCCCAGAACAATCCGCAAAGCTCAGGAAGGCACTGGCTGAGGAAAACGTAGGAATTGTCCCCAAAATACACCCGGGGGAGGGGGGGGGGGGGAGTCGGGACCTCCCGCACTGCGGGGCCACCGTGCCCACCCCGCCCTGGGGGGAGGGCGGTCCCCCGGCTAATTTTGAGGTCCCCGGGTTAATTTTGGGAGCTGGCGCAGCCCCGCAGCCCCAATTGCAGGGTGACCCTGCCAGGGCTGTGCCCGCACCCCAAAATACCCGCCCGGGCTCCAGGGCGGGGCTCCCGCGGTATCTCTGGCTCTGCAGGAGCCCTGCAGGCGCCGGCGATAAAAATACAAGGGCAGCTTGTCCAAAGGGAGCGGCTCGGCCCTGAAAGCACATCGGGAGACCATCGGAGGCTGTTCCGTCCTGCTCTTTAATTAAAAGTGTCCAAGAGTGGAAGGGCACAAACAGAGCTCAGAAGCTCTGCAAAACCCACAGTTTGTGCTGGGCTGGGCCAGGGCGGCTGCCCCGGCAATGCCACGTTGTCCTGGTGCTCTAAACTGTCCTTCTTTTGGCACAATTGTGCCCCAGAGCAGAGCTCAGGGTATTGCTGAGACCTTCCTGAGCAGCCCTTGTTCCCCAGAGCCAAAGGAACCGACCCTTCCCCCCGAGGGCACCCGGAGCCACCTGGAAAGAGCCTCAGGGTCAGGGAAATGTTGGGTATGTTTTTATCAGCTCTTCAGTCCGAGCCCTTTGGGCTCTTTGCTGCAGGGCACACCCTGTTTCCTTGGCACAGCCCGGCCTTTGCTGTCCCTCCTCTGGCATTTCCCCCCCCTTTGGAGCTGCACCAGCTCCCCCTCAGGCCGTGGGGACAAGTGGGAGACTCCAAAGGGCAAAGTGTGCCTCCTTCCCTCTGCAAGGCAGTGGGGCAAAGATCATTCCAGAAACATCCCGGCCGGAGGACTTTGGCAGGGGGTGATCCTGGATCCCAGTGATTTTCCACTGCTGGAAAACCCTGGGGAGCAAGTGAGGACAGTGCCCTGGGCTGACAGTCCTGGCAGCCCCTGAATAGCCAAGGCAACCTCTTCCCAACACATGGATTCACATGGATTCCCCACAATGGGTGGAACATCCTCGTGCTCCATGTTCCTGTCCAAGTTTGTCCTGGTTTTTCACCAAGGAGGGGAATTGCATCAGCCCAGAGCAGCCCCAAGGCCACGGTGGCCACGTCGCCGCCTCTGCCTGTCCCTCCCTCGCCGCTTTTCCATCCCAAAGAATCCCAAAGTTTGGGTAAGACCAGCTCAGCAGCCCCCGGGAACTCAGCCTGTGGCAGACAGATGTATTTTGGGGGAGTTCTTGAGTAAAAGTGAGGCTTCCCTTTCCTGCCCAGGGGAGCTGATCCCTCCCTACAGCTCAGTTTTCCAGGCACATGGATGAGGAAACTCCAACTGCAGCCGCTCATCTCCTGCCTCCACACAACCAGCAGCTCCAGCAAACAGGATTTCCTTCACAGCAAGACATTTTTGGGGGCTGAATAATATTTAGATGGTCAAATCAGGGAAAAACCCCTCAAAAAGTAACAAACAACAAGAGAGCAAACCCCACTGCTGCATCTTCCCTGTGGGATGAAGTTCCCAGGTGTCTATTCCCGGGAGGCTCCCCCAGGGCAGCAGCGGGGACGTGGCAAAGGGGCCAGCTCTGCTCAGTGGGGGGAGCTGAGTCCTCCCCACATTTCCCCCTGGACACGGGGTTCAGTTTGGCTTTGATGCCAAAAGGCACCAAGGAGGGAACAAGAGGGGAGGGGAAATCACAGCCCATCAGGAGTCATGGGATCAGCCAGAATCATGGAAAGGTTTGGGCTGGAAAGGACCTTAAAGCCCACCCAGTTCCACGCAGGGACACCTTCCACTGTCCCAGGGTGCTCCAGCCTGGCCCTGGACACTCCCAGGGATGGGGCAGCCACAGCTCCTCTGGGAAATCCATCCCAGCCTCTCCCCACCCTCGAAGGGAGGAATTTCTCCCCAGTCCCTCAAATTTCCCTGGGGGTGGCACTGGAAGGGCTTCAAGGTCCCTTCCCGCCCAACCCATCCCGGGGGTCTGTAATTAGCAATTAATGAGGAACAGGTTCCAACAGGGATCCCGTCGGAGCCGCCTCCCTCCATCCCCTCCATCCCCGCAGGACGAGCTCCACTGCCACCTCCTGGCTCAGCCTCCCCAAACCCTGCCCGGGTTAAGTCCCAGCCCCTGGGGAAGGATTTCTCTGCAGGGTGGGAAAAGCCACGAGCTGTGACAGCCCCAGAGCCCAGGTCACATCTGCTGGAATTCACTCAAACCACCGGTTCATCTGCTGGGACAATCCCATGGTATTCCTGGAGGTTTATTTTCCCTGAACAGCAGGCAGTGGATGGATTATGGAACGTGCTTCAAGTGAGTCAATTAAAATCCACGAGCATCATAAAATCCTGTTGTTTTCTGGGAGTAACAAAGGGCTTCAGTTTTCACGGAGCACGACACAAGCTTTCGGGCCAAGTGGGAATTTTCCTATGGATTAGCAACTCTTACATTCCCAAACATTTGCTTCCTAAGAGCAAGGGGCACTCAGGGTGCCCTGGTGTGTTCTGCCACACTCCCAGGTTTCCTTTGGGAATCGTTTCCCAGCACAAACCTGCGCCTGGAAGGGGCAGTTCCACACCACCAACGCGCTTCCCGGGCGCTCCCTCTTCCCAAGGCTCGGGATCTCCTCTCCCCTGGCCCTTGGGAACGGGGTCAGGGTGCAGCTCATCCCAAATCCGGCCTCCCTGGGCTGCCACTGGAGCGTTTTCCTCCCTCCAGGTGCTGTGGGAAAGGGCACAGAGGGAACTTCCCCCGAGGAGTCCCAGGGACACAAGACCCAGGTTTGGAGACCTTTGCACTATCAGTGACATCCAAGGCTCAGGAGAAATCTGACCCCTCCGTGCCTGGGCTGCCTCGGGGGGAGTCCTTTTTCAGGCTGAACTAATTTTATGTCTCAGGATCCCGGGATATCTCCAGGGGGACTCTGTCCACACCATTCCCTGCGCGGCCGAAACCGCCGGGAACGCAGGGAAGATTTCCCAAGGGATATTGGTGGAAGATTTCCCAAGGGATATTGGTGGAATTCCCTGCTTTTTGTAGCTTCAGCTGAACCACAAGGAGGTGCCTGATTCTCATCTCCTTTATTGGAGTATTTGCCATCCACTGACTGAAAAACCTCGGGGAGGAAATTGGGCAGAAAATGTAAAAGGAAGTGAAAAGGGAATTGATGATCCTGGATCGGGAATGACCCGGAGCTCCCTTCCACAGTTCCAGGCAGGGCTCTCAGTTCCACATCTCCAGAACAAGGATATTTACTGATCTGACCATAATACACTGAATTTAATCACAGGGCAGCTCAAGGAACCACCACTGGAAAGCCTTTAAACAGCGAGTTCTCCTTCACAACAGCCCTTTTCTAACGAATTTCCTGCTCTATCCCAGTTGTTTACCTGGTAATTAAGGCATTAAATAATTCTCCCAGGCTGCAGGAGAGGTTTAAACAGGGAGATGAAAACATTCCAGTGTTTTCCTTTATAGGGAAAGTCCACAAACACTTCAATTCACGGCCCTGCTTCGGGTCGCTCGGGGAAAAGGTTCCTTTGAGTTGAGCTTTTCCTCTGGAAAAGCAAAAACTTGGGAAGTGTTTTGCAATCTGTTGTCTCAGCCTCTGGTTTTGCAAGCCCTGAGCTGTGCCAGTGCCCAGCCCTGGGACTGTTCTGCAAGGCACAAACACGGCACATCCCAGAGTTTTTAACTCCCAGTTTCCCCTGGAACCTGCAGGACAAACGAGGACAAAGAGACCTCCCGCCAGGAGCTGCCCCTGGACTGCCCTTCCCAGGCAATCTCAAGGGAAAATTGCAAAATTAGGCAGTGAACAGCAGCAAACCCCACTTTTGTCCAGGTCAAACCAGCAGAAAGTGCCACAAAAGCCACGACTGCAGCTCCTCCCGGGTTCCAGCTCAGGGTCACGGGGGTTGGCCCAGTTTGGCTGCTCGGGGGGTCCCTCTGTCCATTCCTTGGATTTCTGGCTGCACCAGCCCTCAGGAGAAAGGAATTTAAAAAAGCAGAAAGTGGGAAAACGTGAGCTGCCCCCCCCCTGCCCACCCTTCCCCCTTCTCCTGAGGGCCTTTGCCTGCTTTTTTAGAACATCTTTCTCCAAAGCAGCGTTTTAGTGACAAAACCCAACCCTTTAAGTCACTGAATCCTGCAAAGCTGCCCCAAACCATCCCCTTTGGTTTGTCAGCCCGGGCAGGGAGGAGGGAACACGTTCCTGAGCACATTCCTTGGCGGTGCCCAAGGTGTGCAAGGATGCAAATTTGGGAATGAAGAAGCCACAGCAAATCCCAGCCTGGAATTCCCTGCCTTTCCTAGCACCCATTTTCCTTTCCTTGCTGGAATATGTCCCTTAGGAGAGACCACACTGCACAATCCCAGCTTTCAGGGGTGTCCCAGAGGACCAGGAGGAGCTGCTGCCATCGTGTCACATCGTGCCAGACTGGGAAGAGGCTTGGACAGTTTAATCTTCTGCCACAGAAATGAAGTTCATAATTCTCAGAAGGAAAAAAAAAACAACAACAAAACCCAAGTTATATCATGACCATGGACTGAAGAATAGAAAACAAACTGTCCCAGATGTTAGAATTCTGAATAGCAGCCTAATACTGTAAATTTATTGAGAAGAAAATCATTTTGCAAAACTGGAATACAATTGATTTACCAAGATTTTTTTTTTGTTTGTTTGTTTTGTTTTGTTTTGTTTTTTTAAGCATTTAAAAATCATTTAATAACAGGCCTGACCATAAAATAGTGGCACAACAGAAATGCAGGTTGCATATGTGATGTGGAATGCACAGAACCCCCAGGGTGGACCAGGCACAGGAAACACAACAATTTAAATCAGCAGTGGAAATTCAAAACTCACTCTCATAATTGGCTTTTTCTTCTAGAGGGTAAGAGGGGTGGGTATAAATATTATAGAGAAAATGTTTAAAAAGCATTGTTTCATTATTCTTTTCCTTTCAGAAATGCTGGGAGGGGTTTCAGCTCAGTCAAAAATGAGTTGGTTGGGCCCAAACTGCCCTTCCTGGTTCCTGAAGTTTCCTATGTCATGGAAAACCCAACGTGAGCGGTAGAAAATGGTGAAAAACCATCAACCGAGGAGCTGTTTCTCAGCAGAGCATTCGGTGTCTCAAACACAGTCCCTGGGGAAGAATTCCACCATCCCTGCTCTCCTGGAGAACAATCCCCTCAGGCACAACCCCGAGGTTGTCCCTCCCCCTCTGCCCAAGGGGATCTCTGGGTGTGGGAAAAGCAGCACAAAGAGGGGGAATTTCAAGGAAAAGGGGACTTACAGCACAGTGCTTGGGCCTCTGCCTGCATGGAGAGGGAGCAGCCCCTGGACTGCAGGGATGAGCTCCTGGACTGCAGGGATGAGCTCCTGGACTGCAGGGATGAGCTCCTGGACTGCAGGGATGAGCTCCTGGACTGCAGGGATGAGCTCCCTGGATGGCAGGGATGAGCTCCCTGGACTGCAGGGATGAGCTCCTGGACTGCAGGGATGAGCTCCTGGACTGCAGGGATGAGCTACACTTGGGTCTGGCTGGGGAGGAACCCAGAGCTGGGGAGCAGCAGCTGCCCCCTGATCCTGCCCTGGGCCTGGCACCCTTCCCACTCCTGTCCTCCCAGATTATCAAACAGGGATCCAGTTCCCAACCCTAAAACTCAACATTTGCCAAAAACGTGCCTCTGACCCTCGGGGACCATCCCGGTTTTCCTGCAGGTGAGGATGGGAGGGAGGGTGGGAGGATGGGCAGGAGGATGGCAGGGAGGATGGGAGGGAGGAGGAGGGAGGATGGGGGGAGGAGGGTGGGGGGAGCGGGTGCAGAGGGAGGATGGGAGGATGGAGGGAGGATGGGAGGGAGGGAGGATGGGAGGATGGCAGGGAGGGAGGGTGGGAGGGAGGATGGGAGGGAGGATGGCAGGGAGGGAGGGTGGGAGGATGGCAGGGAGGATGGCAGGGAGGGAGGGTGGGAGGATGGCAGGGAGGGTGGCAGGGAGGGCGGGAGGAGCCCCATCCTCACCCCAACTCCTGCTCTCCCTGTCCCCCCACCCCGGCAGGAACAGGGCTGTGATCCCACCTCCTCCCCTCTCCTGGCACTGCAGGAATTCCACAAGCCCCTTGTCTGAAGAGCAGCATTTGATGTGATCCCCACCTTGACTCAGCCCACGGAAAGCCCCTGACTCCGGGGATCCTTGGCTCACCCGAGAGACTCCATCTCCTCCCTGCTGTCACATCCCTCACTCTGGTGACTTCCTATTCCCAAATTAACAGGTCCCTCCGTGCCAGGATCCCCCTTCCCAACCCACCTCACACCCCCCACTCCAACCCAGCTAAAGCAAACCTGTGGAGCAGGAATGTTGTATCCCAACATCCTCATCCCAGCAGCTTGAGGGAAACCGTGAGAAGGGAAACAAGGTTAAAAAAACCCCAACAACAACAACGACAACAAAAAAAAAAAAGCCCTGTCAAAATAAATTACGTAAAGTTCTGAAATCAAACATCATTTTTCGAGGCAACTTTTCCAGAGACCTCTTGGTTTCCTTTCTTCTCTGAAGCACCTTTAAGTCGTGTGGTTGTAAGAATAACTTTAACTATAGAAGCTATAAGCATCTTTTTTTTTTTTAAGAATCACATTTTTCGATGATTATAAAAATTTATCTATTATACAACATAGGTCCAGCTACACTGAAAAAATTACACCGCTTATTGAAATACAATTTTCGTTTTTAGAAACAGACTACTAAATAGGTCTATACAAAAAACTCTAAAATAATTTCTGTAGTAAAATAAAGAGTGTGTTAGGAGAGCTACACAAAACAAGGAGGGGTTTTTTTTTGCCTTTCTTTATAATGCTCCAATATACCGTGATACCAGAAGCTGAAAGGAATCCGTTACATACACAGTGATACAATTAATGCTCTGTATTAATCTCACAGCCTTTCCGATTAGTACAAAGAAAACCAGGCCTGTCTCCTCTTTGAGGAGAAGTCCGGGATATAAAAGCAAGCATACCTCATCAGCTGATATGAAATTATAAAATTCCACGAGTCTCAGTGTCTGAAATTCATAAAAGTCACCGGGAGGAGGGGGGGAAAAAGAAACCACGACCCAGGTGGGGGTTTTTCCCTCGGTCCTGTTGGTCCCCGGGTTCAGAAACGGGCGCCGACCAAAACCGGGGTGTTTTGTTTCTCCTCGTTGAGTGATTCTGGGGAATTGGGGAGCCAGGCCAGAGATCCCCCGTGCCCCCCGTGCCCCCCGTGCCCCCGGAGCGCGGGCGCCGCGGGGCCGTCAGTGGTGCTGGGCCGGGCTGTTCTTCTCCAGGTGCCGCAGGAAGGGCTCCTCGCCCTGCCCGCGGTGGTTCAGGGGCTCGCTCTTGAACAGGGCCGGGGGGGGAGGCAGGTGGGGCACGGGGGGCACGGGCAGGTGGTGGGGGTGGTGGGCGTGGGGGTGCAGGTGGAGGTGCGAGTAGGGGTGCGGGACGGGCCGGGGGGGAGCGGCGCCCACGGGGCTCAGGGGCACGGGCGGGGCGGGGGCCGAGGGGGGCCCGGGCACGGCGGGCACGGCGGCGGGGGAGGAGGAGGAGGAGAGCAGGATGGGCACGGCCGCGGGCACGGTGACGGGGCTGGTGACGCGGAAACACTTCTCCTTGTGCGCCTTGAGCATGTTGGAGAAGCGGAAGCGCTGCCCGCACACGTCGCACGGGTACGGCTTCTCCCCCGTGTGCGTCCGCCGGTGCCGCTTCATGTTGGGCCGGCTGGTGAAGCTCTTCCCGCAGATCTCGCAGATGAAGGGCTTCTCTCCTGCCCCACACACACACACGGGTCAGCCACGGCCTGGGCAACCCCAGAGTCACTGCACACCCGGCCTGGGCACCCCCAGAATCACTGCACACCCCCAAAATCACTGCACACCCCCAAAATCACTGCACACCCCCAAAATCACTGCACACCCCCAAAATCACTGCACACCCCCAGAATCACTGCACAGCCCCAGAGTCACTGCACACCCGGCCTGGACAGCCCCAAAATCACTGCACACCCGGCCTGGACAGCCCCAAAATCACTGCACACCCCCAAAATCACTGCACACCCCCAGAGTCACTGCACACCCACCCTGAACACCCCCCAGAATCACTGCACACCCACCCTGAACACCCCCCAGAATCACTGCACACCCCACAAACTGACTGAACGGGGCTGCTCCACCCATGGCAAATGCTCCACAGGAGCTGCAGACTTTGGGAATTCCTCAGACTGTGGGAATTCCACCCTCACCTTGGGATTTTGATGCCTGAAACAACCCTTTTTAAGGGCATTGGCAAGGGGCTCCTTCAGGCCAAAATCCCAGGTCTGACCTCTCCCTTTCCTCACAGTGAGTCCCAGCCCTACAGATTTCACCTTTAAGGGGGTGTATTAACCTCTCCTGTCTGATTTTCCAGTCGGATAACCCCAAATCCCAAGGAAGGGAAGTGTTTTGCCAAGGTACTCGTGGCTTCTCCTTCGACAAGCTCTTACCAGTGTGTGTTTTCATGTGCTCATCAAAGTACTGCTTCATGTTGAAGTCTTTGCCACACCACTGGCACATGAACTGCTTGTGCCCAATGTGGATGCTCATGTGGGAGCGCAGCTGGTACTTGTACTGGAACCTCTCATCACAGTTCTGCAAGAGAAAGAACAGCAGCAGTGGGATCCAGGCACAGGAGACACTGCAGGGGACTCTGGGGAGGAGTGAAGGACACCTGGGCTAGGACACACAAACTGCAGAATTCGAATGATTTAGTGGGAATTTACTGAGCAGGATTTGGGCTGTACTAAAGGTCTGCTGGCACAGGAGCTTTGGAAGGGTCAGAACGTTCAGCTGGCACTGCAATCCTGGCAGAGACTCGGTTATTCCAGCACTGCTGGTGGCTCGAGGCACCCAGGGAGGGTTTGCAGCCACTAGAGGACTCTGCTCCACACCAGACAGCACAGCTCCACACCGGCCTTTCCCAGCTGCTTTTTATTGCTATGAGGTGATTTATTTCCCTACAAGTCTTATCCCCGAGCTGTTCTACCACCATTCCTACTCCATGTCCCCTGTGGGAACAGGAAGGGCTCTGCATCCCCTCTGTCCCCATCCTGTGACCCCCCCAAACAGCCCCACCAGTGACTGAGGCGTTCCCTGCTCCACACACACCACTGTCAGTCTGTCCCACGCCATCCCCTTCCCGAGGCAGGCAGGAAATCCCAACCCCAAACTCCTGGGAGTGTGGCAGGGAGATCCTCTGCCCCATGCCACCACACACACACTGATTAATGAACCCAAACTCAGAGCACGGGCTCAGATCTCCAGGAGGACCTGTTTGGAGCACAATCATTTATCCCACACGTGAAAATCAAGCAGTAATTTGATTATTTCCACTGTGGCCACTTCTATCTGTTCCAAGTTACTGGGTAAGACAGGGAGGATTTCTGGAGTTTGAATTAGGCTTTGCTATGAAGGGAAAACTGGGATTCAAATCCTGCTCCAGCGAGAGAAAAAACACAGCCAACCACACCCAGCTCTGGGTCACCCCCAGGTGCTCCTGCCGTGCTCCCCACGGGGAGAAGAACTTCCCCAAAACTTTCATGAACCTGCCCCTCGTTTCTAGGTGAACTCAGCTCCCCTGGCACTGCCCCTGGCACTGCCATGCCCTGCTCTCTCCCCCTGAGCAGGAGCTCTCTCACCTCACAGCGGAAGGGTTTCTCCCCCGAGTGCTGCAGGGAATGGACCTTGAGGGACATGCTGCGCTTGAAGGACTTCCCACAGGTCTCACATGTAAATGGCATGTCCTTGGTGTGTGCTGCAACACAACAGGCCGTCAGAGGGGGCAGGGGAACACAAACAGCTCCTGAAGCAACCTCTCCCTCCCATTCTGAGCAGGAAGGGGATCCCAGCTGGCAGCTCCCAGACACTGTGCAAACATTCCCATCTTCCTGCTGCCCAGCACCACAGGTCTGATCTCTGTGCTGAGCACAAAGCTCAGACAACTCAGTTTGTCTTGTTTTCATGGAATCACAGAATGGTTTGGGGTGGAAGGACCTTAAAACTCATCCAGTTCCACCCCCTGTGCCACGGGCAGGGACACCTTCCACCAGCCCAGGCTGCTCCAAGTTCCAGCCTGGCCTTGGACACTTCCAGGGATCCAGGGGCAGCCACAGCTTCTCTGGGAAATCCATCCCAGCCCCTCCCCACCCTCACAGGGAGGGATTCCTTCCCAATATCCCATCTATCCCTGCCCTCTGGCAGTGGGAAGCCATTCCCTGTGGCCTGTCCCTCCATCCCTTGTCCCCAGTCCCTCTCCAGCTCTCCTGGAGCCCCTTCAGGCTCTGGAAGGGGCTCTCAGGTCCCCCTGGAGCTTCTCTTCTCCAGGTGATCACCCCCCAGCTCTCCCAGCCTCATTATTTTTCTTTTGCCAAGACCCACAAGGAGACCCCCCCGGACCCCCTGGAGGCTCCACCACCAACTCACCAACCATGTGTTTCCGCACGTGGGCCATGGTGTAGAACTTCTTCTCACAGATCTCACAGGAGAACTTCTTCTCTGCATATCCATGGACAATCTTGATGTGTTCATGGAGGGACCAGAGCTTCTTGAAGGATTTGTTACAGGAAACACACTGGGGTGGGACAGAGAAGGAAGTGGGAATTAGGGAGGTTCGGCGATTCCAGCCGGTGCAGTCAAGCCACAAAAAGAAGCCCAGAACAAGTCAAAATGCTGCCTCAGACTGCACATTTCTTGGGTTAACACCTGAAACAACTACTCTAAGAAAAGCCAGATCAAGCAGGAGGAGAGAGGATGTTAAAACAAGCACTTTGGTGCCACCTGAAAACTTAGAATTCCAAAACTCAACACAGGAGCTAAACCAGAGACAACTTCACAGGCACTGATGCTGCTGGTGAGGGGAGAATCCAAACCCTTGGTGTGGGGAGAATCCAAACCCTTGGTGTGAGAGGAGAATCCAAACCCTTGGTGAGGGGAGAATCCAAACCCTTGGTGTGAGAGGAGAATCCAAACCCTTGGTGTGAGAGGAGAATCCAAACCCTTGGTGTGAGAGGAGAATCCAAACCCTTGGTGTGAGAGGAGAATCCAAACCCTTGGTGTGAGGGGAGAATCCAAACCCTTGGTGAGGGGAGAATCCAAACCCTTGGTGTGAGAGGAGAATCCAAACCCTTGGTGTGAGAGGAGAATCCAAACCCTTGGTGTGAGGGGAGAATCCAAACCCTTGGTGTGAGAGGAGAATCCAAACCCTTGGTGTGAGAGGAGAATCCAAACCCTTGGTGTGAGGGGAGAATCCAACAGAGGTGGAAGAGACCAATCCCACCAAGTTGCCTTGAATCCATGTGCACATCCAGCCCTTTGGAAGCAGCACTGTGACCCCACCCAAATCCCAGGTTTAATTAGCCAAAACTCTCTGATCCTTCTGGTTCTCCAGGGAAAGCAGCTCCCATCCTGCAGCTCTGGATGTGGATTCTGGGACTCAGAGAGCAGAGCAAGGTGTCCCCTCCATCCCTTGTGTTCTGGTTCTTCATTTGTTGAAGGTCTCAGCAGCTCTGCAGGTCCCAGAAGTGACAACAGGCAAGAAATGTGTGAGTTCCTGGGAAATGTCCATGAAATCAGCAATGGGCAGGACACTCATGGGCTTTCAAACACCTCTTTCTTTTCCCAAGTTAGTTCTTCCTAAAGACTTGACCAAAAGATCCTTGTAGAATTTTGAACATTCCAGAACAGTTGTAAAACTTGCTGGCAGACACGTGAGGAAACCAAGACATCTCTGGAGTGAGGAGGAAGGAACTGTGGCTCACTTTTGGTGGTTGTTGGGGTTTTTGGGGCATCTCCCCATTTTCTGCCTCTCAATCACCCCCTTCCCTCCCAGTGAGAAGGGCTGGGTGCTGTTCAGTCAGCAAATATTGATGAATTCTGCCAGGCTGGGGTGGTTCTTCTCTGCACAGACAAGTTTTGCTGCTCCCACAGCGTTTGGATCTCTGCAGGCTTGGGAATTCTGGTCCATTCCCTGAGGAAACACCTCCAAAACACCTCCCTGGAGGCACGTGGGGAACAAACTGCAGCCCTTGAGGGGAAAAAACCACCCTAAAGAGCAAAGCAGTGGTGTGAAATGATCATAAATACTGTGATATAAAGTTAAGCCAGGCCTTGAAGAGGTCAGACTACAACTTAATTAGATTAGAACACTAATACTGAGAGTGACTACCCAGAGCTTCAGGTGACAACAGGAACTGCTGATCTGGAGAGGAGGAAAATCAGAAATCACCTGGAAAAACAGACATATCCCATCACTTGGATGAAAAATAGAGAGGAGCCCACTGTGTTTTATCAGTTCAATTACCACTCACACATTAAACCATCCCTTTTCCTACACAAAGCTCCATATCCCCCTTGACATATCCAACCCTGAAGCACAATTTTTGCCAGGAGGAATAAAAACACATTAGCAGGAAGCTGTAAAACACATTCCAAGGGTCAGCACAGAGGAATAACTGTTGGATGTACGCTCAGATATTGAGAATTTGAAGATGACTCGCAGTGCTTCTGGCACTGGAAATATCTGGGGGAGCTTCTGGATATAAAACATAATTTGGACAATTTTTTTCTCCTTTTCCTACCCCCTTTTTGGACATAGGAATTTATCCCCTCAGAACACACACTTCCTTATTCTATACCATGTGTTTAAACTATTCATGAATTCCTGTTTAAAGTGAAAAGGTTTAATGCTGTGAAAGAGCCACCTGGATGCTGGGACATTCCTTAAATTTACATTTCAATGTTCTCTGCTGCACTGAACTTTTGAAGTATTTCTTTCAAAAGCTGCAAGGACACACTGAAATGTTTCTGTATTTTATTAACTAAGCTCAAGACTCATTATCTTATTTTATAGTCCTTCCTTCAGTCTTCCTCCTATGAGCTGAAACACAAGGAAAACCAGCACAGAGTTACCCAGAGCTGCAGGTCAGGCTTAGGAAAGAGAAACTGCAATGAATTATTTCATGTCTCCCACACAGTGGGGACTGAATTCCAACTCGGTTCAGCGTTTAAGCAAGAAAACAAACAAACAAAAAGCCATTAAATCATCCTGGTGAAACCCTGGCTGGGCAGACAGGAAACCTGCTGCCCTCCAAACCCCAAACCCTTCAGCTGCCCCGGCTGAGCTGCTCGGCAGCGGGGTCACTGCACAGGGAGGGGGCAACCCTGAGCAGGGTTGAACGAGGCAGGAAAGGCAGGGCTGAGCTGCCACATAAACCAGCTGCATGAGAACAGAGGTGCCCACGAGCAAAGCCCAAACCACACATGAACCACAAACTCTGGAGCTCCTTCCACGACCTCGAGCTTGCAAAGGGTTCTGTTCCAGCACAGCCTCCCACTGCTGGGGGACAGGGCAGAGCTGCAAAGCTGCTGGTGAGAAAGAGCAGAGGTTTCTGTGTCATCAGGGGGATTTACTGGGCTTTTGGCTCTGGGAAAGGGCAGGCTCACGGGTTGGGCACTGAATTCATAACACTTTTACCCCCAGCTGGGAGCACTTACTGTAAATCGCCTCTGGATCATCATCCCAGCAGGATTTTTAAACTCCGCTTTAACCCAAGTTCAAATCCTGACTCCACTGGTGTCTTTCTCACCTGCTTGCCTCTCTGGGATTGCCCAAATTTCTGATTCCAGTACCAGCCAAGTCCTGCAGTGAGACCTCCCCTGGGACCACTCTGTGCCCGTCCGGACACCGAACACCAGCGAGAGCTGCCGGGGCTCAGCACCGAGGGAGGAGGGTTCCTCCCGTCCAAGAGCTTCACTGCAAACTGTTCTCAGCCCAGTCTGACACTGTTAGAGTGGCTCTGTGTGCTCCCCAACTCGTAGTTCACTACCAGAGTAACTGCCAGAGCAGCTGGACACTCCTCTCCCAGCAATCCTGGAAGGCACCGAAGTGTCGCTGCGCAGAGACAAGGCCTCGGTCAGAACCTGGGCTGTGCAAAAGATTTCCCCCTCTGAAGTGTCCACCACTGTGTCCAGGGCACGACAGAAGGTGTGGAAATCTGGCAAGCAGGTGAGCAAACCTACCTGGATATTTTTTTCACAGTCAGTTTGCTGGTGAAGGGACAGCTCACTTTCTAGCACAAATTTCTTCCCACATTTGTCGCAGATCTGCATTCGCCTGTGAGTGACGTTCATGTGCTTCTCCAGGTACCAGCGTGTGTTAAACACCCTGGGGCACTTCTCACAGGTTAAAGTCTCCTTCTCTTCACACTTTGATTTCTGCACAGGTGCCTTGGGCTCCTTTGCAGTTTTCTTCTTACGCTTGGGGGGCTCCACACTCTTTCTACGACCCCTTGTAGTTCTGGGTGGTGGGGAGGTGGTGGCTGCTGCAGCAGAGGCAGCTCTCCTCGTTCTCCTTTGTGCAACACTAACTTTTTCCACTCTTTTCTCTTTTTTCTTCTGCCTCTCATTTTCCTCATAATCATTACTGTCTTCAGTGGCCTCTTCCCCACTGTCACCCTCCTCTTCCTCACTGCTGGTCTTAAGAACAGCAGTCTCTTTGGACTGGGAGGGGACACCCTTCTCCCCTTTTGATACATTTAAGGTTTGGTTGTTAAGGTTTACCTCTACTATAATCTGCTCCCTTTTGTAAGTCACTTCATCTTCCTCCTCCTCTTCCTCCTCAGAGTCGTCAGAGTTTTCTCTGTCTTCTTTCACAGCCCGGACCTCTCCTACCGCTCTGTTCTCCCTGAAATAAGGCTGCTCCTCTCTCTCGTGGAGGTGGGGCTTGCTCATTTTGCTGTCCACCAGCACAGAGTAGGGGCTCCCTGACTCCCTCTTGTACACCTTGGTGGACAGGTCGAGCTCCTGGCTGGCCCCGTGGTAGAAGGTGGGTGGCACTTGCCCGCGGCGACCGTCCTCCTGTGCCATCCCCGCCACGGGCGCCGGGCAGTTCTCAACCAGCTGCTGGCAGGAATTGGCCGTTTGACTCATTTGGGGGGCCCTGGTTCATGGAGCACCTTCAATCCCAGAGAAACCAAGGCAGCAGCAGCAGCTTGAGGTGGGGGGGGGTCCTCCAGCCCGGCGCCTGGTCCATGGACACGGGGCGGACAAACGGGGGCTGAGGGGAGGGCACGGGATTCCAGGGTTATGGTAAGAGCAGGGCTGGGATTGTTCTTCTGGGGAAAGGTGCCAACGAACCCTTGAACATTTTATCTAGAAGAGACAACAGAGAGAACAAAGTCAATTAAAAGAACAGCAAACCCCCTCAAATTAGTAAAATCGCAGCAAATTCCTCTGGGTTTGTCCAGCTGGAGGGAAGCACAGGGCTGGTCAGCTCTGGGCTGCTGGGGGGTGTCTCAAGGAAAAAAAGGGAGTTACAAACACCCTCTGGGGGGTAGGAGATTCCTAAGATATGGAAATCAAGGCAATGAATATTCCCCACCCACCAAAGATCAGCTCCAGGGATGCAGAGCTGTGTCTCTCCTGGACTTTGGGGAGCACTGATGGCCCCAAAACGCTGCTCTGCCCCCACACCCCTACCCAAAAATCCCTCTGCTTCTCCTGTACCTCCCAAAGGGAGCCCATCCTCATCCAGGGGACGTTTCACACAGCCCCACACTAATGGAGACGGGGATGAAGAATTCCAAGGGAGGCATTTCCGACCTGCAGCCCCAAACCAGACTGAGAACACCCCAGTCCCTGTTTGCTTCCACCTCACACATCCCTCCCACAGCCCCTTGATTTAAGGCAACTACTCCTTTGTCTCATTCTCCCTTCCCCCCAGCTATTTAATCCTCAAAGCAGAAGCCAAACAATATCACATTTGCCCATCCACATTTCCCTGCAGTCATTCCAAGTTGGAATTTGACCAGGACACTGCTACTTCCTCTTGCAAAAAATAAATAAATAAATAAAAAGCCACGTGATCCCTCCTGAATACAAGTAATCAATCCCTCCCCTCTCTCTCTCAGCAGGACAATCAACATTTGGGTAGCACAGGGTTGCAGCAGCAAGCCAGGATTTTTGGCTGCACAGATGGAATGGGAAAGACTCTGGAAGCCCCGAGCAAAGGGGATTCCTGGAGCTACATCTGGGACCAGAGAGGGCAGGAAAGGAGAATTCAGGACTGAGACATCCCAGGATGAGAGGACAGAGAAGGACCCAACAGAATGGATGGACTGAGCAGTTAAATGTGAAGAAAACGGGATCTCCACTCTTGGAATGTGAGAATTCCCTGGAGGGAACTGCTCCCACCAGCAGTTTCTCCCCCTCTGAAGTGAGTTTAATTGAACAGGAGAGGAACCCACCAATGCCTGAATCCTGAAGACTGAAGTGCCCTCTCGTGTCCGGGAAGTGCCACCCTGGGGACAGGCCAGGCCACTGATGAGTCTGAGCATCAGTTTAATTAAAACAGATCCCTGAACGCTTCTCCAGGATTTCCAAACGGCTCCAAGAGGGCCCCCAAGGTGCCTGGCAGTGCCCTGCAGACTCAGCACCACCACAGCAGGGTCCATTCCTGCTGCTCTGCCTTCCCAGCTCCAAAGGAAATCAGGAAGGAGAGCACCAAGCCCTGGGCCAGGAAATCCCTGGAGATGGGCTGGGAGCACTGGCTTGGGGTCACAACCCACGTCCAGATGGAAAAGCCAGTACATTAGAGCATAAACTGGCTGGGATTGCAAGCCAAAATTAACACCCCTACACCCAGGGAGGCCCTTGGAAAGCCCTGGGAAGGATGGAACCCAATTTGGCTTTTCCTTTCCCTCAGTTCAGTGAATATTCAGAAGCTCAGAAAAATCCCTGTGTCAGGTATAAAACCATCCCTGACTATTTCCAAGGCGACATCAAGCATCTCCAGCAGGAGGGAACCAGGAAGGCCACTGGAATGTTGCTGCTGGAGAGCCAAGAAAGCACAAAACTCGCCAGGAAAAGGAAGGTTCACCTTCCCCCCCTCCCATTTTACTGAACACCCAAACGTTGGTGCCATCACTGAGGGGACGTTCTGCCCAACAAACCCCTTCACATCCCCACGGAGCCACTTCAAACACACACAACAGAAGGGGGGTTATTCCGAGTTATCAGGAGTCAGCTGGTGTTAAAACCACCTCGCTCTGCAGCCTCAGCAACCTGCTTTCCCTCTGAACCCACCCCTGGCACCCCCAGGGACCCCCAGCTCTGGAACAACGTCACTGAGCGGCCAAAGAGCTGCCCAAGGTCCCCTCGGACCTTCATCACCAGCAAACTGCTGATTTCAGGGCCCCAAACACGCTCAGAGAACGTTTGCATTGCCCCCTCCAAGTTTTCTAACCCCAAACGTACTGAGCAGCATCGGGGTGGTTTGAGCTTCGTCCCTCTTGAAAGGTGAGTTCACTTTTACCAAAAGAACCCCCAGCTTTTCACAGAATGAGTCGCAGATCCGGGCTCTGATTAAGAAGTAAAGAGGAAACGGGGGTTTCAAAGCAGTTTTTGAAGATGCTTATCAGGACACAGAGCAAAGCCACGAGGTGCCTGCACCAGGGTAACCAAAGATCAGGCAAGGTTTGCAAGTCTGCAAACATTAAAAAGCTCAAACCCAGAAAAGAAAAGGGCAACTGGCAGCCCAAGGTGTGGGTGGAGGAAGCAACCCCTCACCCCCTCACTGGGGCTTTCACTGCTTCGGAAGCAAACCCACATTCCTGCCCCTTCTCCACTAAACCAGAGAGATTTGGGATCCCGGGGGCTCAGGGGGTGCTGTCACCGACCTGCCCCGGGTCTGCCCCCAGAGGGACCAGCCTGGCACCTCTGCTGGTGCAGGGAATGGGATCTGGCTCCTGGCAGGGATCCAGCAGCAGCAGACACTGCTGGCAGGGACAACAGGGCTGCTGCCAGCTCTGTGCCAAGGGGAGGCAGCACAGCCTGCACCCCAAACTTCCTGGATCCTGAACCTCCTGGGATCCCAAACAGCCAGAGCCCATCCAGGAAGGCAGCACAGCCTGCACCCCAAACTTCCTGGATCCTGAACCTCCTGGGATCCCAAACAGCCAGAGCCCATCCAGGAAGGCAGCACAGCCTGCACCCCAAACTTCCTGGATCCTGAACCTCCTGGGATCCCAAACAGCCAGAGCCCATCCAGGAAGGCAGCACAGCCTGCACCCCAACTTCCCTGGATCCTGAACCTCCTGGGATCCCAAACAGCCAGAGCCCATCCAGGAAGGCAGCACAGCCTGCACCCCAACTTCCCTGGATCCTGAACCTCCTGGGATCCCAAACAGCCGGAGCCCATCCAGGATTTCCACGTTCCCTTTACGACACAGGACCTGTCATTTCCCCCAGTCAACCCCCAAAACTTCATTTTCTCAGCAAATCTCAGCTTAGCAGCAGCTTTTCAATGGCTGCAATCAAGAGGCACTGCAAGGAAGGACCAGGTTTATTTAGGGATAAATCAATATGGATCTCATGCTCATCAGGGATGATGACCCCTGCACACAGACCCAGGGCCAGGAGAAAGTCTCAGCACCCTGAAAACTGATATTTTTTTTTTAATAGAAAACAAGACTTTTCTCAAAACACAGCTCGGAAAAAAACCCCAAAACCCAAACAATTCTACCCGTGTTACAATTAAAGGCAAAGCCATTTTGCATCCTCGTTAACGACCCGAGGCTTTGAAGGGGGTTGGAAGCACCGATCCAGCGGCTCCAGTAAGTCCTGGGGCAACCAGATTTGCAGCCAGTGGTGAAACAACCACAGAGCATAAATAAATAATCTGCATTGGTGAAGATAATGCACCGATTTCAAACCAGCTGAGTGGCTGCTGAAGGAGTCAGGCACTGGCTGGAGGTTGGGGGATTCATTAAAACTGCTCCAACACTCCACCAGACAAACAGAATTCCAATATTCCACCAAACCTGGGACAGGCTTTAACCTGGTTCCCACCCAAATTTCTAACCCAAACTGGGTTCTAACCCAAACTCTGCTTCCTCTTAACTCATTTCTAGTACAGGTAAAACCCCATGTGGACTCAACCCTTAATAAACACCCAGTGTCATTTTAAGTTAAACACTTTCATACTGAATAAATCACATTATTTGGCTCCAGGAGAATCAGAACCATGATACAACTGGCACGTGTTTATTTTTGAAGGGTGGCAAAAACCCGCAAGATTCAGGTAAATATAAACATATTTATATATAAATATACATATATTTATAAATACATACATACATACATATATATATATATATAAGAATGTGATTTTTCACTTTGCTTCTGTTAATATTCAGTGTCACCCATCAATCAGCTTCAATCTCAGCAGCAGCAGGACAGAAACACAGGAAAATGGCCAAGAAAAATGTGATTTTCATTCCACAGGTACAACCTGGCTTTAGGGCCAATCCCCAACCCAAAGTTCTGCTGCAAAAATAAGAAGCATGAATGTTTCCTCGCTGGGACTCTGCTCTGAAATGCTCAGAAATGTGAATTCTCCGAAGGAAATAAGCGAGGAATAACCAGAGGTTGCAATGTGGAAATGAAAAGTGATGCCTAAAATGACCCGGGGGGGTTTGGGGTGTCCTGGGCAGCACCAGGAGTTGGACTCGATGATCCTGGTGGGTCCCTTCCAGCTCAGGGTATTCCAGGATCCTACAAACTGGTCCAGCCGCCTGCAGCTGAACCCACGAGCCCTGCAGAGCACATCAAACCCCCAATTCCTGTCCCAGGTGGAGGAACAGGTGCCTGAAACAGGCCCAGCAATTCCCAGGCAGTGGGAAAACACATCTGGCCCAAGTTCCAGGAGTCAGGGAGAGGAACCAGGGCTGGAACACAGGAGGGAATTATTTCTATCAGGGCACAATCGCTCCTTTCCTGTGCATCTCGGCTGCTTCATGTGCAACCCCCTGAAATCTGTTCTGAGGCGGGTCAGAGGCAGCACATCCCACTGCTCCTGCATTCCCATGGAAGTGCTCATGGAAATGCAAACTGAAGAGCCTGAGTGCTGCTAACGGCCTGTTCCCAAACATCCACCCATTCCCAAACATCCACCCATTCCCAGACTCCTGACACCCGCCCCAGAGCCGGAGGGTTCCCTCAGCACAGCCCCAGAGGGAGCAATAATCCCATTTTCTGCCTCAGTTTTGCTGCTGACACAGTCTGGGGGACACGGGGTAAGGCAGCAAAGAGGATGTTCGGGAACAACATTCCCAGTTCCCGGGAAAAGGGAAGAAACCGGGACCCTGCGAGCTCTGGATTCCCGGTGAATTCCCAGGAGCAGCTTCTCCCCCCCAGGGCTCAGCTGGGAATGCTGTGGGAATGGTGTGGGGTTCGAGTTCTAGGGCAATTAAAGCCACACATTTGGGCACCTCTGTCTCAGGATTAGTCTGGGGACAACCAAACAAACCCAGCACGCACATCCCAAAATCCAGCACGTCCCAAAATGCAGCACGTCCCAAAATGCAGCACGTCCCAAAATCCAGCACGTCCCAAAATCCAGCACGTCCCAAAATCCAGCACGTCCCAAAATCCAGCACGTCCCAAAATCCAGCACGTCCCAAAATCCAGCACGTCCCAAAATCCAGCACGTCCCAAAATGCAGCACGTCCCAAAATGCAGCACGTCCCAAAATGCAGCACGTCCCAAAATCCAGCACATCCCAAAATGCAGCACATCCCAAAATCCAGCCAGGCTGGCAGGGCCCCCAGAGCGGGGCGGAGGAGCCTGGGCAGGGCCCCAGGAGCCTGGAGAAGGGATAAATCCTGTCCCACTCCGGGATTCCCGCGCTGGGGTGGCCCAGGACAGCCCGGAGGGGCAGCACTGCACCAGCCCGTCCCTATCCCAGGGTTTTTTGGGACCATTCCTGAAATCAGCAGCGATGGGGATTTGCTGACTCAGCAGGTGACACGTTTCCCCTGGCCTTGGCCACTTGCCTGTGACTGTTGAACAGGCTGGTGGAAAACGAAGCAGAACCTATTCCCAGTTCCAGAACAAGCCCTTCTGTCCCACCCTGCCACCGACACAAATCACCCCCCTCCCAAACCTTCAGGCCTTTTCCGCCTCTCCAGCTGAACTATCCCGGCTGGATCCAGAAACCCGCGCTGGGACACAAAGCCTGTGTCAAACCAGTGATTTCCAGCGCCGGGAATCTGGACTGTTTTCAAGCATTATCTCCCCAGAAAACAGCTCCAGAGGTTGCCATTTCGGAATTCCACAGCATTGTAATCCCTCAGCTTTTGCAACCGGCCGAAGGGTTTCCACTGCCTGGGAAGGAATTTGAGATCCAACAGCCACAAACCTCGACATTCTTCTCCGAGTAGGCAAAACCACCTCGAAACAAGTTCTAATGCACCAGGACACACACTCAGATTAAATCCACACCCTCCCTGCTACCTCCAATAATCAAAATGAAGCACCTGAGAGCGAATTAGGAACTTCCTTACATTCAGGTCTCTCGCTGTGTCTCATTTACACCTTTCCACGAGCAGGATTAAAACCCAACCAGGCGTTTCCCACCCCACAGCAGCACCTCTGTCATTCACCTTTTACTTTTATAACTTTTCTGCCATTGTTTGACGACTTGGAGACACAAATGAAGCCAAGACAAGCTTTATATGACCACATGAACAGGTACCTGACCCTTGCAACCTGTAAACTCATCAGAAGAGCTGCCAAAAACCCAAACCTCCCACGCTAAAGGCGACTGTTTCACCCACCAGAGCCCAATTCTTTGTTCCAAATCCCTTTGGAGTGCCTGGCTTTCCTCTGGTTCACTGCTAAGATTCCTTTTTGCCTTCAAAACTCTTCATCACATGTCTTCAAAACTGCACTTTTAGGGATTTTACCCCCCCTTGTTTTCTCACACCCCAGTGATGACACCTATCGAGCCCCACAACTTTACTCTGAGCTCCCCAGTGGTGGCTTTTAAGTCACTCACAAAGGCACAGGAACACTAAAAGGAAATCTGTCATCAAGATCTGCTTCCCAAAATTAGCATTTCCCCCTCCCAGGGCGGCCCAGAGGCCCTGGATGTGGATCTGTGCTTCTGAATATGCAGGTGGGAGCTGGGAGGTGTAAATTGGGTGTAAATGGGTCTGTCCCAGGGGAAAGCCCCAGGTACAAATCCTACCTGGACATTTATTCCCGGGAAAGGTGTTTTGCCTCCCTGCTGACAGCACTGACTTGGCAAGAAACAATAAACTCGAACCCCCGGGATGAATCTGCCTCCTGAAGGACACCTTGGCCACGTGCAGGATGGACACAGGATGGACACAGGGACCAAATTCCGTGCTTTTCACAGTGATTTGGTTCAGCTTTTTGCACAGCCTGTGCTCCACACCCCTGCACCTCCCGTGCCCCTGGACCACTTCTGCTTTCCAACAACAAAACGTTTAAACCAATCCCAGCCGGGCTGACAGCACGTTCCACACACACTTGGGAGTCTCGCAGTCAATCTAATGGAGTTTCTAAAAACCGTTTGGACTCATTTCCAGTCTACCAGTTTATCTTAAAACCCTGCTGAATGTTTTGGAACGTTGCTGAGAGTGGTATGTAGCAGGGGGAAAAAAAAAAAAAAGAAGATTTAAACAGCAAAATCTTCTTTGGCTTCACCAAAGTGTGAATTCGAGCCCTCCAAAATAAAGTTTGTTCTTCTCACATCATTGGAATGTGCTTAGGGGATGAGTTTAAAATCCTCTCCATTTTTCACCCAGAGCTCTTTACACACTAAATAATTTTGATTTTGGAGTTTGTCAAAGCCTCCATAGCAACACAAAGGCTGGAGGCAGCTGCCCTGGGCAGTGGCAGATGCTCCTGTTGGGAGTGACTCACCACTCCTGGAAAATGCTGGGGGAAAGAATGAGCACCACAGTTCAGCCTTCCCCTCTTCTCCCTCACCTGG